CAGTATTATTATATATTAATTAACTATCTATGTTTTTTTTTGCAGATCGGTGATTACTTATTTGCAAAAGATGTCAAAATCGAAGAAAAACCGGGCGTTTTTGAAATCACATTTTTCTTGAAATATAAAGACTACAACTTTGATAATGAGATGGACTGGGTTGATGATCAGACAAATAGTTGGGAATCGGTTTTAGAGGCATTACTGCGATGTGGCCAACTTTACGTGGGTGTCAACCCACTAGGTTAGTATCCTTGACATTATTTTTGTTGTTTATTGTAAAATAGAAAGTAGGGATGTAAAATCCAATAAGCTCTTATTTGGGTTGGGGTATTTAGAACCAAATAAGGTGTTATTTGGATAACGTGGACCGAATAAACATAATATAGATACCCACAAACCAAATCGAATTGCTTATTCGGGCCTAATTCGGTTCGGTTTAGGATTTCGGGTCAAATTCTCATCCCTAATAGAAAGAATCAATAAAACTATTATTTTTATTGTAGATATCAGAAGAAATTTAGAAATGAGAGATCTTATTCAAGATTTAGAACAAATTGAACGTCGTGCCAATTCTTTGGTCGAAGAGGTAATAATTTTGATCTTAGCGATATTCAGTTTTTTCTGTCTCCTTTTTATGTACACCTTTTTTCTATCTTCTCTTAATGCAGGCCTCTAAATATTACAACGAAGGAAGTTTATTTCTTGGAAATCAAAAGATGGATGAAGCAGAGAACTTAAGAAAGGAGATCGAGGTCGAAGATGAGAAAAATTACTTCAAGCTACTACTATACAGGTTTTTATAAATTATGTTTCTGGTTTTTTATTTTTATTTTTATTTTTTATTTTTTAAATCTATGTTTCTAATTTAATGACCTCTTTAATGAATCCTTCAATTCAGGAATATGGAAATTACCAACAAAATCACGATTGATCTTCATGGACAATTTAGATATGAGGCAATGTGGTTTTTGAAGCTTCACTTGTGGCTGTTCAACAATTTACGTAGTATGATCATTAATATTAGTTTATTTAATATCTTTTCATGTCTTTTTGTTTAATTTTTTATTCTTTACAACAGCTGGAAAGGAAATTGTTGTGATAACGGGACATGCTGAAGATCGAGAAACGAAACCGGTTTTGAAACCAATGGTACAAGTATTTTTTATTCAATTTTATTTTTCAATACTTAGAATAAAAGATTTGCTTTTGTTTGTAGGTCATTGGTTTACTAAAACGATATGGAATTGAGCCTAAAGAATTAAATAAAGGCACCTTTGTTATCACACTTCCTTCTGAAGCGAGAGATTTCAATTTTGCATTGGACATTTCCGACTGTACAGATGTGATTGAATTTTGATAACAAATATGCTACTGAATTTCTTTTCTCTGTTTTTCCTAGATTGATAGTAATTCACCAAAACCCTAAATCAATCGTCGTCACTGAAAAAAGACCATTTCTTGAATTGATGCTCACTCCTCCTTCTTCCAAACTACCATCACACCAGCAACATCTCTTCTATCCGTTACCACAACCCTCTTGAGGCCTCTGTTACTACCACCCTCCCGACGTTGCCGTTACCACCACCGGTGGCCGCAACCCCCTCTGCCGCCCTGCTTCTACCTTAAGCCGAGACAAGAAACACTACCCTTATATCTCTGCCACCATCAACGCCACCGATAGACATCATTCACTTGAATTTCAACTCTTTCTCTCACCACCCTTACGATCCCGCGTTCACTCCACCACCACCGACACTCAATCCTGCCATCATCACGCATGTCGAACCTTGGTAACTTCCATTGCCTCTGTTGGTTGGTTCATATCCAGACCGCGATTTCAAGTAAGCATCATTTATATCTCTTATTTTCGACATTTTGCTAAAAAGTTTAGATTTGTTATGTAGTGTAATGATTTTCACCATGGATTGTGTTGAATTTTTGTTTTGCTTTGTATAAGTTGCCACGATTCTAGAAGCAGTACCGATTTCAGGCCCTGATTTTCACTCTCGATTCCGATTCGAAGGTAAGAAACATTCATATAATTCTTTTAGACCTTTTGTTCGAGTTTCGTTGGTGATCATTTTAACTTTGTATTGATTATTTTTTTTTATAGGATCAATAAACTCTTGCTCCAAAGTGAACCCCTTTGTAGAGGAGCAATCTGATGACAAGGTAACACCTGAATGCTTCGTTCCCTCTCTTCTGCACTCCTTCTTTTCAGTTTATTTTTTTGATTTTCAAGCCTTCATATCTCTTTTCACATAAATCAAATTCAAAATTCAAATCCTCTCTGTTTAATAGTCATTATTGAAATTGCTATTAGGTTTCTCTCCATCACCAAGCTTGACACAACAAATCTGAACTTTTTTATACTCATTGATGTTTCTAAGTAACTACTTGACAACCACTCACCATCACCCTTTGTAAATGCTTTGGTATGTCTTTTTTTAGGGTTTAAAAGATGTTTTCATCTTAATCTTTTGTGTGAGGAAAGTGTTGTAGTCGTGTATTTTGTCTAATCTTTTTTTTTTTTTTTTGTTATTTATAGAACCTTCAGTTATTTTCCTATGCTTTAAAATTTACTGTCTTTGCTCGCTTAAGCAATGGGTGATTGTGAAAGAAGTGGACCTGAGTATCTAACTCGGGTTTGTTAGTGGTTTAGGGTTCATAAAAATATAATATTGAATTCAGCCTCTGCCCTAATATCTCTTTTTAATTTAATATGAATAAAGATAGGTTTTCTTCTGCAACTATTGTACATTCCTTTTCACTTCATATTAGAAAGTTTCTTTTCGTCTTTTCTGCAAGGTCATTTTCATTATATTCGCAAGTTTCAATTTCTGAGTTTTTAAACTTGTTATCCTACATGGACTGCTGATTATGTTTGTTGTTGTTGGTTAGGATGAATTGTTTATGTTCTTATAGATTGTAGATGAGGGAGGGGGTGAAAGGGAATGGCTGCAAGGTGGGCGGGTGAGTTGTGGAGTAGAGTAGAGCCTACATGTTAATAATAATATAATTATTTTAATACTAATAAAAGTTAATAAGAATGTAGGACGTAATGGTAAAATGACTCAGGTACATTTTTGTTTTAACCATAGAAATAAAATAATGCTTTAAATTTGTTTTTATAAAAAACAAAGAAATAAATAAAAAGTAGGACACTGAAACCAAATATAAGTTATGTTTTGTGACCATTACATTGGTCTTTATTCTTATTATCATTTTCTTATGTTGTTTGTAGTTGTAATCTGATATAACTAACATTGTTGTTTGCTCTGTTACAACTTCCTGATTGAATGAGTGGGAGTCCATTTGGTAAACCTGTGACCACAAAGTCTAAATGTCTAATGTTGGAACAAACATGAATCAAGACTTATTGTTGTTTATAATTCTTATTGGGCAGTTTAAATTAGTAAATCATACATCATTATGATTTTTTTAGATCCCGCTTTTGGACTCATGGTTTCACATGTCATGCTTTTTATAGGTAGGTTAGACAACATCATCAAAAGTGGCTCTGGTACGAGGGAAAACTATCTTTTGATCTCCCGTTCTCTTTTTGAAGATGGTTACAATTTGTCAAGGTAGTAGACAAATTTGTTAGATATAAAAATTTGGTGCCCGAAATAACTACCCAAAGGAGTTGCTACTGCTCACCGTGGGTACAACATTCACACAACCAAATGTTGTCACTGTCTCCAAAGAAGGGTTAGTATTTGACGATAATGCAATCCATGATAGCTTAAGTCTGTCGCTAAACATACATGATGCAGAGTCCGAGCTTCCTATTAGACATGAGAAGATGCATAGTGTGGCTGCACTTTTGTTGTGGACAGATGTTAAAAATGAAACAAGGGCTAGCTTTGAAGAGTAAAAACAATAGTCTATCTTTTTCATGTATTCTTAAAAAGGCATGAGAATGCTTATTAAAAATACAATTTTAGTTTTCGTCCACTTTACAAAAAAGCAATAACGTAACTTGTAGTTTTATCTATTAATTGTGATTTCTGCATTTTGAACTTCTACATTATATAATAATTTGATGATAATAATTTAATAGCAATGCGCTTTCATTTCAATATGAATCATATCATTCAGACTTTCACTTTAGCTAAATGCAAGAAAATAACTTTGTTTCAACTTATATCAAAAACTAAACTGTGTTCGCATCTGTAATGAAAATTTTGTGGTTTGCATTTGATTAATTAGGTTAAAATGCGAAGGTGATTAATGCGAAGGGATGCGAAGGGTGTAAGAATGAAGATGCGAAGTATTTCACAGTAGAATGCGAATTGGGGAAGAAAACAGAAATTTTCAAATATTGTCCCTGGAGTTTCGCATTTTTGGAAATAAATACTCAACTTCGCAAATGGGGGTCATAAAATGATGAAATTGCAGAATTTTTAAAGAGATACACACACACATAGACAACCACACATATATTTAGAAAATTAAACTAAAAGATGATAAATTACAGATTATAGCATTGTCCTTGATTGAGTCAATTTCCTTTATAGGAGTAATATGTTCCATTGTACCTTGCAAGTTAAAAAAAAAAAAAAAAAAATTTACATTAAATTAGACAATTATAATCAGCACACAGAAAAAAACAATCAAACAGTGAAGAAGAAAGTACATTGGTAGGCTGTTACGATTAAATTAGACAATTATAATATGCGTTTTTCCAGGTGAGTATTCATATAAAATATTTATTTCCTTAATTAAAACAACAAAAGATATATTTTTATTTATTTTTCCAATTTGCATAACTTTTTTTATTGATTTAATAAAGTTGCATACCAAATTGTTAGGCTGTTACGATTTCACCACCTAAAATATGTATATTTGTATTATAATATATTATCTTGTTAGTATTTCATGAATGCAATCAATAACACTTGTGTGCTTTGAATGCGAAGTTGGATTTAGCTTTGCTATAAGTTTCAATCGATTTTGAAATTGAGTATTGTTCGCATTTGTATGAGTGTAGTCGATGAATCGATAAAGCAAGAACATATGAGTTTTGATTCGCAATTGGATTGATGATTGAGGGATGATTCGTGAAGAAAAACGCGAAGTCAAGGACTGTGAAATTGTTGTTTGCAAGAATTTAAAAACTCGATTGTGGAGTTGTTGATGCTCATTTTGCGAAAGTAAAACAATCGAGTGTTTGCATCTGTGAATCAATTTGAAGTCAATTGGGTTAATATTCGCATATGGGTTCAACATATGAATTTTTGATTTCGCAAGTTTAGAGTTCAAGAACTAAACTGTGTTCGCATCTGTAATGAAAATTTTGTGGTTTGCATTTGATTAATTAGGTTAAAATGCGAAGGTGATTAATGCGAAGGGATGCGAAGGGTGTAAGAATGAAGATGCGAAGTATTTCACAGTAGAATGCGAATTGGGGAAGAAAACAGAAATTTTCAAATATTGTCCCTGGAGTTTCGCATTTTTGGAAATAAATACTCAACTTCGCAAATGGGGGTCATAAAATGATGAAATTGCAGAATTTTTAAAGAGATACACACACACATAGACAACCACACATATATTTAGAAAATTAAACTAAAAGATGATAAATTACAGATTATAGCATTGTCCTTGATTGAGTCAATTTCCTTTATAGGAGTAATATGTTCCATTGTACCTTGCAAGTTAAAAAAAAAAAAAATTTACATTAAATTAGACAATTATAATCAGCACACAGAAAAAAACAATCAAACAGTGAAGAAGAAAGTACATTGGTAGGCTGTTACGATTAAATTAGACAATTATAATATGCGTTTTTCCAGGTGGTATTCATATAAAATATTTATTTCCTTAATTAAAACAACAAAAGATATATTTTTATTTATTTTTCCAATTTGCATAACTTTTTTTATTGATTTAATAAAGTTGCATACCAAATTGTTAGGCTGTTACGATTTCACCACCTAAAATATGTATATTTGTATTATAATATATTATCTTGTTAGTATTTCATGAATGCAATCAATAACACTTGTGTGCTTTGAATGCGAAGTTGGATTTAGCTTTGCTATAAGTTTCAATCGATTTTGAAATTGAGTATTGTTCGCATTTGTATGAGTGTAGTCGATGAATCGATAAAGCAAGAACATATGAGTTTTGATTCGCAATTGGATTGATGATTGAGGGATGATTCGTGAAGAAAAACGCGAAGTCAAGGACTGTGAAATTGTTGTTTGCAAGAATTTAAAAACTCGATTGTGGAGTTGTTGATGCTCATTTTGCGAAAGTAAAACAATCGAGTGTTTGCATCTGTGAATCAATTTGAAGTCAATTGGGTTAATATTCGCATATGGGTTCAACATATGAATTTTTGATTTCGCAAGTTTAGAGTTCAAGAACTAAACTGTGTTCGCATCTGTAATGAAAATTTTGTGGTTTGCATTTGATTAATTAGGTTAAAATGCGAAGGTGATTAATGCGAAGGGATGCGAAGGGTGTAAGAATGAAGATGCGAAGTATTTCACAGTAGAATGCGAATTGGGGAAGAAAACAGAAATTTTCAAATATTGTCCCTGGAGTTTCGCATTTTTGGAAATAAATACTCAACTTCGCAAATGGGGGTCATAAAATGATGAAATTGCAGAATTTTTAAAGAGATACACACACACATAGACAACCACACATATATTTAGAAAATTAAACTAAAAGATGATAAATTACAGATTATAGCATTGTCCTTGATTGAGTCAATTTCCTTTATAGGAGTAATATGTTCCATTGTACCTTGCAAGTTAAAAAAAAAAAAAAAAATTACATTAAATTAGACAATTATAATCAGCACACAGAAAAAAACAATCAAACAGTGAAGAAGAAAGTACATTGGTAGGCTGTTACGATTAAATTAGACAATTATAATATGCATTTTTCTAGGTGAGTATTCATATAAAATATTTATTTCCTTAATTAAAACAACAAAAGATATATTTTTATTTATTTTTCCAATTTGCATAACTTTTTTTATTGATTTAATAAAGTTGCATACCAAATTGTTAGGCTGTTACGATTTCACCACCTAAAATATGTATATTTGTATTATAATATATTATCTTGTTAGTATTTCATGAATGCAATCAATAACACTTGTGTGCTTTGAATGCGAAGTTGGATTTAGCTTTGCTATAAGTTTCAATCGATTTTGAAATTGAGTATTGTTCGCATTTGTATGAGTGTAGTCGATGAATCGATAAAGCAAGAACATATGAGTTTTGATTCGCAATTGGATTGATGATTGAGGGATGATTCGTGAAGAAAAACGCGAAGTCAAGGACTGTGAAATTGTTGTTTGCAAGAATTTAAAAACTCGATTGTGGAGTTGTTGATGCTCATTTTGCGAAAGTAAAACAATCGAGTGTTTGCATCTGTGAATCAATTTGAAGTCAATTGGGTTAATATTCGCATATGGGTTCAACATATGAATTTTTGATTTCGCAAGTTTAGAGTTCAAGAACTAAACTGTGTTCGCATCTGTAATGAAAATTTTGTGGTTTGCATTTGATTAATTAGGTTAAAACGCGAAGGTGATTAATGCGAAGGGATGCGAAGGGTGTAAGAATGAAACTGCGAAGTATTTCACAGTAGAATGCTAATTGTGGAAGAAAACAGAAATTTTCAAATATTGTCCCTGGAGTTTCGCATTTTTGGAAATAAATACTCAACTTCGCAAATGGGGGTCATAAAATGATGAAATTGCAGAATTTTTAAAGAGATACACACACATAGACAACCACACATATATTTAGAAAATTAAACTAAAAGATGATAAATTACAGATTATAGCATTGTCCTTGATTGAGTCAATTTCCTTTATAGGAGTAATATGTTCCATTGTACCTTGCAAGTTAAAAAAAAAAATTTACATTAAATTAGACAATTATAATCAGCACACAGAAAAAAACAATCAAACAGTGAAGAAGAAAGTACATTGGTAGGCTGTTACAATTAAATTAGACAATTATAAT